ACCCAACGGCTTTCCGGTAGGGGCATACTGGAAATTTGGCACCGGTACCGGTAGGGGCATATTGAACGTATTTCAGCCTCAAACGCCGCCAGGTTTTTTTTGGAAACTTGAATCGTTGTCAGAGGGGCAAATCAGGGCAAGTTGGCTGTCGGAGGGGCAAAAAACAACTTAATGCAAACTTCAGGGGCATTTCAAAAATTTTCCCAACAAGGAAAAGGTCAAATTGAGAGAAGAATATAAGGAAAAAAAACAAGTTCTTTTTTTTTTTTTTTTTTTTAATTTAAAGCCCAGGGTGCTGTCGAGGCCAAGGACCAGACCCGCGGTGATTGCTCGTAGCGGCAGCCAATGGTTGTCCTGACAGGATAGGCCACCTACCCTACCCATCCCCACGTTAATACTCCCAGCGAGCAAGGAATACTGTCACTGGATGGGGGTGGGGGAAGATGAAAAGGGAGGCACATTTACTGGCCTGAATGACTTTTTGTGAGGGATGTCGGGCCATGTTCTCTGCTTTCGTAAAACTTTTCGTCAAAACAAGAAATAAATGCAAGAAGTGCTCGGTCCTTCTGTTAGCGTGACCCCCACCTGCGGTGTGAGACCGTGTGACGAATTGTTTTCCGTGGTTTTCTGCGCGACGATACTTCGGGGGTTGATTGAGAGGGGCCCGCCCAACTACATGAATGTCCTTGTCTTTTAGAAAAAGGGTGGTCCCACGACGGAAAATAATTGTTGCCATAGCTTCTTTCTTGTTGAGCTGTGAGGAGTGGAGAATTTTGGTGCGATCATCGCGTGGAACTCTTAGCTGATGTCGAGCCCATGCGGGTTCTTGGATTTTTTTTTTGCAATTAGGACTTAAATAAAGCTAGGAATTTGGGTGCATCGTAATTTTGCCTGCAACTGCACAGTGCTTCTTGCTTGCTCGCGCTCTGCCGCGTCAAGGTCTGTGCTTTGGCTTCTCCGCGCTTTAATCTCACGTGTAACTGTAATTCTCTTCTTGGCAAAGTGTAAATGTAAGTGTAATCTCCTCCTTGATATCTTCGCCGCGCCTCTGCGCGCATATTTTCGTCGACCTTATTTGCCTGAACGATGCATGACTAGATCGATGTGTGGAGACTGGTTATGTCCTCCACGTCGCGGCCAGGCCATTCAATCGTAGGCACTTCCTTCCTACTCCTTCCCTCCCACTCAGGCACAGTCCGGGTTATTTCGCGTGGACGCTCATGCTATAAATTTTGCAAGCGCGATTAACTCACTCTCTAATCAACTTTGGAGTTAGCGCGGCCGAGAGGATCGACTAACGGGTAGGAGCGAGGCGGTGAGTAGGGAGTTGGGCGATCCGACGGGCTGGTGCTGGGTATGCAGGGTTTACATGTGGCTGCGAAGGACTGTGGCACACGGGCGAACCCGACTTGGATGTTCAAACTAAGCGGGGTGACTACTTTGTGTAAGTAGTACTAGGTGCGAGGCGACAGACTGCCCACATCGGGGTGATGCGGAGAGAGAGAGAGAGAGAGAGAGAGAGAGAGAGAGAGAGAGAGAGAGAGAGAGAGAGAGAGAGAGAGAGAGAGGG